CGTGTACGACACANGCGTCGCAAAAATGCCGTACACTACAAGTCCAGGCTCGTGTCGCTGAGCTCGGTACACAAGCGAGAAGGGCTCTGGGCCCGGGAGCACTTAACTGCCGTCCAGTACGGCCCTCACTCCGCCTGGCCTGCGTGCCCTACCCACAAAAACCCGACCTCCAAACACACACACACACACACACATGGGGTTACGCTGCTACGGGGAAGCCAGAGCACCGTATCAAACGCCGCAATCATATCACCCACATCGTATTAGGAGAAATGTGCCATAACGTGGTGTGGTTAAGAAATGGCACACAAAAAACATCAACTCAGGGGGAACGCGCATTCCTCTGAACCAAACAACGTAACACTCGACGAAATACATAGTGTGATCATACACACGTACAAGGGACGCGGGTACACGCACGCACCTGCGCCGCCGCCGACGCGTACGCCCGTCGTACAGTACCGCTCCGTTCGCTCCGTACAGCGCCCACCAGCACTCGGAGCAGGGGTCCGGCATGCGGCCGTAGCAGCGGCTCCGCTGCAATGGCACCGCCGCCGCCGCCACCGCCGCCGCTGTTGCCGGTTACGGCAGTTGGCGGCGCCACCGCCGCCCCGGGACGAGATGCCAAGTTGCGGATGAAGCGGGCGGTGCCAACCTGTGTGTGTGTGTGGTGGTGGGGGGCCCGGGGAGGGGAAGAGGGAGGGCAGAAGGATTAGAAGGAAGGAAGACGGCATTACGTATGTATGTATGTGTGTAATACAGCTCCGCCTGGGAGCGCAATTACAAGGCCCTTAGCGACCCACGGGTCACTCATCGTCCGATGAGTCTTTAGAGGTGCATAAATTCTTTTTTGCCAACTCAGTGGGGTCCGGCTGCGACCCATGGGTCACACCGATGCCCCTCTCTCCCCCTCCCACCTCTCCCCACCTTCGTATTGAGTCCCACGCCTCTCTTGATGGTCCCGATTAGTGCGGACACCAGCGGCTCCAGGGAGGGGGCGTCAGCTAGGCGGGCAGCTAGGTCCAGAGTGTCACCCTGCAGTACAGGTTGCCGTACAGCATACACAGTAGGTACATTACATTACCATGCGCTGTCCTAGTTCGATTGATCGTTTCGATTCGGTTTGGTTGAACGGTAACCAGCTTTCCGCCAGGTATTTTCCCGCCACTAACTCCCCACCACATCACGTCACCCGTACAACACCTTCCAGGTAATCGGGTTCGCGTCCGGGTCAGGTACGGGTTCGTTCGTCTTTCCGTCGTACACCTCATCTCACCAAAAAAGAAGAGACACTCAAACCCACCAAGGGTGACGCCCGGGCCGCGGCCACCCTCGCGCCCTCCAGCCGCTCCGAATCCAAACCCAATCTCTCAGCGTGCTGTTCCACGTAGTTGAGCCTGAGGGGAGAGAACGCGTAATTGCGGGGGGTTGAAGGGGGTGGAGGGATGGAGGAGGGTGGGGGTGGAGGGGGAGGTGGAGGGGGTGGAGGGGGAGGGATGGAGGAGGGTGGGGGTGGAGGGGGAGGGGTTGATGTCAAAACTGCCAACGTTATAAGTACTTACGGGGGTAGATCAGGTTCCCCTGGAGGTACATACGTACGTACTTACGTACATATACGTCGGACGCGTCGAGCACAAACCACACCTTACACCCCTCTACCAGAATCGCCAGCAGCACTCTCCAACTGGCGGACATAAGGGACCGTAAAACACACAGCACCCAGACACTCACCCTGACGCTCTTAACGGCTGCTTAACGGTCTTCCCAACGGTCTTCCCAACGGTTGCTGTCCCACGCTGACACTCACTCATCCGCAGCCGCACAACCCAGTGCATGTTCAATTGGCATCTAGATTCGCCTGTCTTTCCGTACAACCTCCTCGACAGGTGGAAACATACATACACACACAGATAGACATGCGTACGTACATACGCACCTTACATCCTCAAGTGAGCTCAGCGCCTCCAGCAGCGGGGGCACCAGGGAGGGTAGCAGGGGTCGGAGGGCGGGAGGGGGAGCTGTACGGCACACCAAACCCAACACCTCCACGGACAGAGACCGGACCTAGTAGGACATTTAGGGATATTGCGGGGGACGGGGGGAGGGGGGGACGGGGGGAGGCGAGGGGAGGCGAGGGGAGGGGGAAGGGCCAGGGAGAAGGGGCGGGGAGGCGAGGGGAAAGGGGATGGATATTAAGGCGAGGGTGTAAGGAGCGGTGTTCGATGATTCCGATTGGTGGTACTGCCGCGTGCACCCATCCAGCCCATAATGGCGGCAGTGGTTATCATTCGGGTTGCTGATGTTACTGTTATTGTTGTGGTTGTGGTTGTGGTAGTGGTAGTGGTGGTAATTGTGGTGGTAATTGTGGTTGTGGTTGTGGTAGTGGTTGTGGTGGTAGTGGTTGTGGTGGTAGTTGTGGTGGTAGTTGTGGTGGTAGTGGTTGTGGTGGTAGTTGTGGTGGTAGTGGTTGTGGTGGTAGTTGTGGTGGTAGTTGAGTTTGTTGGTAAGGTAAGGATTCTGAACTTCTCGATTCCATGACCGGTGCAGCACCCCGCGCCCGAGCAACCCAGCTACCACTTTCTCCCCCCCCGTTCCAAACCGTTCTCCCGTCCTCCCCATCCCGTAAACTCATCCCCCCTCACCCCTGCGCGTTATGGACGTGCCGTACACAGCCCTTGCAAAACCCGGCAAGAATGTCGATGCAAGACACACAAGCAGCGCAGCCCCACGTGCACAAAGGCGAAAGCGATGTTTCCTTCTACAAGCATGTAAACGCATACAAACCTACAGATGTACATACATACGTACACACATACCTATGTACATACATACACACAGACCGTTTCCTCCGGGGGCCTACCTCAGCCACATTTGACATAAGGCCCTGCTCTAGGAGTACGGGCATCATAACCTCCACAGCGGAAGAGCAGTCTGCGGCGGCGGCGGCGGGGGTTCAGAGGGAGGCCAGTGTACGGACAAAGATAGATTAAAAAGAGATTGTCGTACCCAGGCAGATGCCTTATCGCAGGCAGTTCCGGCAGTCCATAACACCTACACACACAGGGGTGCCGGCGGGTTGAGGTGGGTAGTGCCGTACACATTAAAACCCTATCACCCCCTCCAAGGCACGTGCTGCAACTGAAGCACGCCAAACCCCCCCAACCGTTAACCTAACCTCTTAATGAAGGACACATGCCGCCAACCATGCCGTACAATGCCGTACAATATCGCCGCGTACCTTTTGCGGGAGTATGTGCGGGATCCGCGAGCCGCAACGTAAGCCCCCGTACTGTACGGGCGAGTGAAAGCGCCGCCCGCCGTACACTGTCCTTTATGTCGTCCTGTAATCGACCGCGGGTGTGAGGAGTCAGGCGGCTTCTCGACATCGGATTTTCCGTACACAAACCACATTCAAGAAATTACGTGGAACCCAATGCAACGGACATCACGAGCAAAAATCCAATGCCCCGAAACTCTAAAAGGATTCCTATATATATTATATATATTATTTATGACGTATTACGAACAAATAAAGAGAAGTTGCGTGCGGATGCAATTCACGAGGTGCTCTCCATCCCCATTCCCCCATCCCGAGGTCGCACCCTTCAAGAACGCCTACTGGTCAGTTCTACTTCTTGTACATTCTTTCCTTGGCAGCAGCTTCACTCGTTCACGTGGCTCGTCTTTCCCCCCACCCCACCCCACCCCGGAGGCAAATCTCCCTGGAGCAGTGTTGGACCCCCTCCTCCCGCCCCTGCACTTTCCCCCCTCACCCTCTTTCCCACCTCACCATTGCACGGAATGTCATGATCCAGATCTGGGAAAAGTACGGCGACAGCTCAGGCCACCTGCAGCCACCATAACCACCACAACCACCAGTCGCCTCCATTGCCATGATTTGCCCGCGCGAACAAGTGTACGACCTACGAAATAAAACACTCGGCACGACCCCCCCGCCCACCCTGTGCGGTTGGTGCATGCGGTAACACGTCCGGACTCCCGTTGTCTCGTTGTGCTTCTCGAAACATATCGCCCCTCCCCCATTCCCCCTCACCCCGTCCCCCTCATCCCCACCCCCTCCTCCCCACCTCCTTTCCCCCCACCTCCTTCCCCCCACCTCCTTCCCCCCACCTCCTTCCCCCCACCTCCTTCCCCCCNC